CGCGTCCGTGGAATGACGGCCACGCTGACCACCGGGGAGTTCATGACGGGGTGCTGGGGGAGCCTGAGGAGACACCCGCGTGGGCTTGAGCACCGCGGACCGCCCCGGCCCTGGCCGCCCGCCTCCGGGTCCTCAGGCCACTCATCGGGGCTGCGCCCCCTCGGGAAGCCCCCAGGAGGACGCTGTTCTGAGACCCCTTCAACCTCTGCTGGGGTCACAGTCCCCGAAATGGCAGGTTCTCCCCAGCCGGGCTCCCCGGCGGCCTGTCTGCTGGCCTCTCAGCCAGGCTGCCTGATGCCCTGGCTCCCGCCCTCCGCCTTGACCATCCCACCAACACCCCACAAGACCCGGCCCCCGCGCTGTGCCGAGGAGCAGCCATGACCAGGAACCTGCTCACGTGCCCACCAAAATGGGGCTGGGGGGGCGGGCCGGGCAGAAGCTGCAGGAAGCTCAGGGTGAGGGGCCTGGCATCGCTCCCCCCGCCCCCCCGTACCTGGCGCCCCGGCGCTCGGCCTGGAACTGGGCGGGGAGCAGCCCCCCCAGCGTGCGGTAGACCAGGAGGGTAACGATGGAGGTCCCCGGCTCGGGCTCGGGCTCCAGCGCAGGTGGCGGGGGGGCCGCGCGCGCAGAGCTAGAGTTTTCCACGCTGCCGCCTGTGGGCAGAACTGCCAGGGCAAGGGGAGGGGCCCCTGTCAGTGACCTCCGCCTGAGCACCCACAAACCAGCTCTCAAACAACCCTGCATCCAGCGTGGGCCTTCCCTCCCTGCGGGTCCAGAACTAGCCTTGAGGGAACATGGGCCGCAGGGTCAGTCCTGGGAAGGTTGGAGGCGGCAGGAGATGGCGAGGCGAGTGCTGTGGCCAGGGATGGGGGGAGGGCTGGCGAGGGAGTCTCTCCCAGGGGACCTGGCGGGGGGTACGTGGGGCCCGGCTTGGGGAAGCAGGACCCGGCCCAGGGGTCACCCCGGGCCCTCACCGTCATGTGGGGACAGCCGCGGGGACTGGGAAGGCAGCAGCACATGGGTGTGAGGGTCCCAGGCATCCTGACCACGGAACAGGTTGCTATGGTAACGAGGGTAGCGACGGGTGCCCCGGGACGGACTGGGGTGCTCCATGCGGTCGATGCTGAGCACTGCCCAGGAGGAAGGGGGTGAGGCCGTCAAGGGTCCCTCCCCAGGCTGGGGTCCCGCTCCTTCCTGCCCACACCCAGAGCCTCCCTGCTACCAGCGGAGCCCAGCCCGGCTGAGGGTGGCAGCCAGCCTCCGGCCACGAACGCTGGCATCGCAGCGCCCGGCCCGCAGACCCCGGTCCTCGCCCTTCTGCAGCCCCTGCCCGCCCCCCACCACATACTGATGTTGGGCGTCACCAGCCCCACGGGATTCAGGTACGTGAGCTCCATGTTCCTGGCGAGCGTGGCCGCGTACTCCTCCAGGTGCCGCACCAGCCCCGCGCTGCCGGGGGACCCCCCAGGCGCCCGCCGCCCCAGCGCCGCCCACAGGTCCCCAGTCTCCGGGGCGAGCAGCGCCGAGCCTGCCCACAGCAGATTCTGGGAGGAGGGAGGAGAGCGGGCTCAGCCAGGACAGGCTGCATGAGGGCAGGGCGGGCGGAGGGGTCTGGCCAGGGCTCAGGGGGCCCCAGCAGGCAGGGGGTGGGTCTGGGTCTGGGGGGCCGGGGAGGAGGGAGCTGAGGGCCTTCCCTTCCCCAGGGCCAGGAGGCCCTGAGCGGGGACCCGAGGCTCAGGGTCCAGGGCCAGCGATCGGGGGAGAGCACAGGGCACAGCCCACCTCGTTGAAGCGGGCGTCCTGAGTGGCCGTCAGCCCAAAGCCCTGCTGTTGGCTCTCAGAGGCCAGCAGGTGGGCCAGCAGGCGGGCAGCGACGCGGACATCTTGGCTAAAGTAGTGGTCAGTGTGGCCGGTCACTTTCTTCGCAGCCTCTGAGCCAGCTTCTTGGCCTCCACAGTGTCCAGTGCTGTCCTGTTCAGCTCCAGGCCATCCAACTGCAGGACAGAGATGGGGTCCGAGGTCACTGGGTCCCTCAGGCCTTTCTCAAAAGCCTCACAGGAAGGGTTTGGCCAGATTAAAGGGCACCCAGGGAAGGCCCGGGCCAGGGACAGGCACCCAGGGAAGGCCTGGGCCAGGGATGGGCGTGGTGTCTGGGCCGAGGGACGGGCACCCAGGGACGGGCGTGAGGTCTGGGCCGAGGGACGGGCATCCAGGGCCAGGCGTGGGGTCTGGGCCGACCACAGGCCTGGGGAGACCGGGGCCAGGGCCGGGCAGGTGTTGAGTGCAGGGCAGGGGCTGGCGGCCTCACCAGCAGCGTGAGCTCGCGAAAGGCAGGGGAGGTGCAGTTGAAGAGGTCGGGCTCCAGCCAGCCTCGGTCCTCGTCACAGAGCCGCACGGCAGCACCTGGGGGCAGGCGAGCCCTGGTCAGGCCTGGGGCCGGGGCACCTTCCCGAGGAGGTGGCCACGCACCTTCTCCCGCCTCAGAGGAAGCTCTGAGTCAGAGACCAGAGAACTGGCCGTCAGACCCTGGATGGAGCAGCCCAGCCCCAGCCCAGGCAGCCCCCAGCTGCTGCCAGCCAATCCTGAGGGTCTGGCCATTCTGAACCACCAGCGATAAAAGGGAGCACGAGGGCAGGGCTGTGCACACGTCCACACGCACACACACACGCACACGCACACGCACACACAGGCCAGGAAAGGTTCCCAGGCATGCGGCCCAGGGCACGCACGCATGCGCACACACACACCCCAATGCTCCTATCTGCACACACACGTGTGGGGACCAGGACAAGCACACACACACACACACACACACACACACACAGGCCAGATTCTCCGGGAGCACTTTGTGACCAAACTGGTGGGGGTAGAAGCTTTCACGCAGGTTTTAACTGCCCGGGGATGGCTGCTGCCGTCTCTCCTTGTCCATGAGACGGGGGCGGGGGCTGTATAAGAATGACCTGGACCACGAGGGAGCTTGCAGCCATCAGCGAAAGGGACCCTAACCTTACACAGGGTCCTCTCCCCCCAAGACAGACTCACAGACACGTGCGCAGGCACAGAAAGACACACACACGTGCATGCACACGGATGACCTCTGTCCAGCCACTGCAGGGACCTCAGGCAAGGAGGAGGGTTTGGGGGAGACCTCAGGCCGTGGGGAGGAGCCTGTAGGAGCCTCGAAGGCGGAGTCACCTTTCGAGAACTCAGGCAGCAGGGACACAGGTTCCTGCAGGGACCTCAGGACCTGAGGAGGTGGGAGGGGCAGCCAGAGTCTCCAGGCGTGGGGAGGGTCTCTGAGGACCAAGGGCAGCAGGGAAGGGGCCCCGGGACCCCAGCAATCAGGAGTAGCTTTCAGAGGCCTCAGGCAGTGGGAGGGGCCTGCAGGGGCTTCAGGCAGCAGGGGGATCTGCGAAAGCTTTGGCAGTGGGGGGGGCAGCGCACCTGAGCAAACACGTACCCCTTACCTGCACCCCGCAATCCTGCCCAGAAGCCAGGAGAAACAGACGGAGGCTCAGTGAGGTGGGGGAGGGACACGGAACCCCTAGGAGGTAGTGAGGGGCCCGCCTGGACCCTCCCCCCTCCCACCTCTGCAGGAACCAGGCCGCCCGTCTCAGGAAGAGGCGGCTACAGGAGGCCACGGACAGGCCCACCCCACCCTCACCAATGCGCCTGCTCCCGAGGTACTCACCCAGGGCCCCCCGGGGACAGGGCACTGAGGCCAGAATGCCGAACTTGGTCTGGGGCCACCACACACCAGATCGCAGCGACTTGGGGCAGGCATCGTACAGCACTAAGGAGACAGGAGGCACTGAGCCAGGGGCCAGGGCAGGGGCGAGGGACAGCCACTCCCACGGCCCCTCCACCACCCAGCCCGGCTCACCGCCCGCCCCTCCCCGGCTGGCCCAGCAGATTCGGCGGCAGGTCACCCAAGCACTTGGGCAAAAGCCTGCTCACCTCGGCAGCCGCTGGCCGTCACCTCGGCGAAAGGGCTGTCACAGCCGTTGCACTGGCGGCCGAGGGCGCCCGGGCGGCAGGGGCACTGCCCGCTGTGGGGGGCACAGGAGCGCGAGGTGGAGCCCACAGGGTAGCAGTCGCACGGCAGGCAGGCGTCACTGCCCCGGGGGCGGTAGTGGAACTCCTGGTGGAGAAGGGGTCAGGGCCTGAGGTCAGAGGTCAACGCTTGCTTGGGGAAGAAGAACCAAGGACGAAGGGTCGAGAGAACAGTGCTCACAGGCCAGAAGGAAGCCGGGCCTCAGTGAAACTTAAGGGAGGGGTCAGATGTCAGGGACAAAGGACGGCACTTAGGTCACAGGACGGGTAAAGGGTCAGGGCCTGAGTCAGGGGCAGAGGTCAGCAAGCTGGAAGAGAATCACAAATCATGGCTAGGGAGGAGTTCCAAGGCCAGGGGTCAGGGGCCAGGGCCCGGCACACCTTGCAGTGGCACCGCCCGTCAGTCTTGTTGCAGTCGGGGTCGAAGCCCTTGTGAACGTCACAGTTGCAGGGCCCGCAGGTCGGGCTCCCCCACCAGCCTCGTGGGCATTGCTGGTCCATCCTGGGGGTGCACAGCCGGGTGAGATGCCCCCTGATCTCTCAGCGCCCTCCTAACCCCCCCAGGTCCTCCCTGATCTCGGCCCCTGGCCCCTACCTGTGCTCACAGTGCTGCCCGAAATAGCCATCCACACAGTCACAGGTGTAGCCGTGGGGGGCCCCTGGGAGATGCCGGCAGGACCCCTGGTTCTGACAGGGGTTCAGGAAGCAGGCGTCCACGCAGCCCGGGCCATAGTAACCTGCAGGTCGGGTCAGAGAGCTCAGGACACTGACCACAGGGCACGGGAGGGAGCGGCGCCGTCCTCGGCCTCCTCCTCCCCCTCAGGCTCTCCGGTCCCCGAGTCTTCATCAGCCCCCAAATCACGCCCCCGCCCGGCCCCTACCTGGCCAGCACGTGCAGGAAAAGGTCTGCCAGAGGTCGTGGCAGTCCGCGTGGGGCGGGCACGGCCCAGACGCACAGGCGCTGTCCACAACACAGCCAGGTTCCACGTTCACTCGCTGCGCGGGGGGGTGCAGGGCTGGGGACCCCAAAGGCGTGGAGCCGAGCCACACCCCCTGTGGACACAGCTGGCCTGATGACCCCTGACATGCAGCTCCCGACCCGACCCGACCCCATGTCCCTAATTCAGCCCAGAGGCCCCCAGTGTGCTGCCCCTGACACTGACCTCTAAGGGCCCGTGACCACCGGAGCTGGACTCTCACCTCCAGCAGCACAGAAAGGCTCGACTTGTCTGTGGCTCAGCCCCCCGCCCCAGGTGAATGCAGCTGTTCAGGTCCCCAGGCCCTGCTCTCCCCACTCACCCCGAGGCGTCACCCCGTGCTGACCCCACCTGGACACAGCCGACCAGCCCCGGAGGAGCCTCCTCTTCGCTGCTGGCAGGCAGGCCTCCCACATGCAGTCGCTTCACTTTCAGGCCCTGCAGCTCACTCCCCACCGCCATGGTGTCCTGGGGGAGGGGGCAGTCAGCTCTGGGGAGGGAGAGGACCCCTATCCTACCCCCCAAGTCCGTCTTGGCCTTGTCCTAGCCCTGCACACCATGCTCTGCTCCTTTGTGCCAGGGGAAAGGTCTGGGAACAGCTGCTCTCGAGTATGGGGGCCTGCCGGAGCATGGGGGATGGGTCAGGAAGGGTTCACCTGGGCTCAGCCCTGGCTGGTGTGGCTCAGTGGATAGAGAGTCGGCCTGCGGACTGAAGGGTCCTGTTTGATTCCGGTCAAGGGCACATGCCCGGGTTGTGGGCTCGATCCCCAGTAGGGGGCGTGCAGGAGGCAGCCAATCAATGATTCATCACTGATGTTTCTCTCTCTCTCTACCTCTCCCCTCTCTGAAATCAATAAAAATATATTTTTAAAAAAGAGCTGGGCTCAGATAGGCCCTTTCTCCTGGACCAGAACAGACCCTGAAATCCCACGATTTGAGCTGGGAGATGGGGCCGGCGATTAGAAGGGTTTTCCAGAGTCCAGCAAAGTGCTGACTACCCAAGACCGGGCCAGAAATCTGGGAGCCCCTGCCATGAGGGCTGCGGGTGGGCTCGGAGCAGGACAGGAGGGGCGGGCGGCGGGGAACATCCACTGCGTGCAGGGGAGGGAGCGGAGAGGAGCTGGACTAGAGGCGGGATCAACTGGTTGGCAGACTGAGAATGGACGACTGCAGGGTCAGAGGTCAGACCTGGAAGAGGCTGAAGTCCAGCGAGACCATGAGGACATGGTGGCCCCGCCGACCACCTGGCTCCTCCTGCAGCTCCAGCCGGAGGTCGTGCCACCTGCCGTCACTGACAGTGACCTGGTCCAGGAGGAGGCGGGCAGCACGGCCCGAGCCCCGGGTCACCGTCAGGGACAGCAACCCCCGATCCAACTGTGGGGAGAGAGGCACAGACCTGGGTTAGGAACCCCCGTTTGGCCAGGGCTGGGAGTGTCGGGAGGTGAGGCCAGGGCACTCAGAGGTCAAGAATACCAAAGGGTAGAACAGCGGGAGCAAGGCTACATCTGGCACACAGGCCCTGCGCCCAGGGCCACTCTGCTGCCGGAAGTGGGTGAAGGAGCAGAGGTCAGGCCAGGGGTCGCTGAGTGGGGCAGCCACACAGATGCCCTGCGCCTGCAGAGGGTGCCCTGGTGGGAAAGAGGGTCGGGGGCCAGGGGTCAGGGGCCAGGGCAGGGTCAAGGAGGGTCAGTCCACCTGGCAGAGAAGTATGCGGCCTGATCAGGCCCAAACTCAACTGGCGTGCTGCTGGCGGCCTCGGAGGTGGAGAGCGAAGGTCTAGGGAGGGGCCGGGGGGACAGACGCACCTGGCAGAGGAGCGTGCTGTGCGGCCCGGCCTGCACTTGCATCAGGACCCCCTGCGCCGCCCGTGTCCGGAAGGCCAGCCCCAGGTACCACGGCACAGACACGACCACGTCATTCCCGAAGTCCCATCTCAGGGTG